AATTCGAATTATAAATTACCCTGAAGTTACAACTATTATTTGAAGAATAATAAATTATAATTGTATATATTTTCTATTATTTATAGCCGTAATCATTTTTGATATTAGCACAAATTATTTTTCAACTTTTGTATATGGAATTTTAAAAAAAAATTTATTGTACGATTATAAAAATTCTAATAAATTCTCAATTGCAAGAAGAGATAAAATTATGAAGAAAAACTATTGTAAATAAGAAAATTGTTTCTTATTATGTACTCGTTTATAAAAAAAAAAAAATAATAAATAGGTAAATAAATAAAAAATAATTGGAAAAATATAAAAATCTGTAATTTAAGTAATTTCTCCTTATTTTTCTGTCTTTGAACTCGTGTCGCATTATTTTATTCCACACGAGATGAAGCAAAGACCTCGAGATAATAATCTCGATTCATCGTAATAGTTGTAGTAATAAAAACATTAATCGTTCGATTGTATTCTATTCTCTTTTACCTGTCATCAGTTATGTAAACGAAAGGAATAATGCCACTTGTTACACGAGTAGAATTTCTGTTTGTTATTTAAGAAAGTTCACTGTAAAAATCCAATCTATCAATGTTCAATTAAAAATTTCTCATATTAAGTTTTTTTTTTTTTTTTTTTTTTTTTTTTAATTAATGAATAATAATAAAAAATAAAATTAATAATAAAAAAACTTATTATTATAATTATTATGATAATCAGCATAAAATAGCAAAATTTTCGAACCCATGAAATTTGAGAAAAAAAATTCATAAACTATTTTAATTTTTCAATAATTTGATATTTTTTTGGATAAAATTTCTATTATTACTATTATTTTCCTATTGTAAAATAGAAAATTATTACTATTACATTCTATACATTTTTATTCATTTATTCCTGAAATAATTTACTTTTAACACTAAATTAAAAATAGAAAAGATTCTTTTTTAATTAGAAAAAAAAAAATTTCCATCGTCGAGTAATTTTTTTCTTTAAAGAAACTCTTGGCCGACACATTATTCTCTTGCCTGTTAAAAAATGAAGAAACTGATTATCTTTACAAAGCACTTTCATCTCAACGGAAGGATTTTACGAACAAGAAATAATGCTCTAGGTTGATTTTCTAAAAAAAAAAAAAAAAAACGAAAATGGAAGGAAAAAATGGGTCATGAATTCAGAATTAATAATACGATACTTATATTTCAAATGGTAAGTATAATTAGAAATGTTTTCATTAATTACTGATATTGCATTATTATTTGCGCGACTATTTTAATTAACACTCATTGTATAATATTTCAACTGAAAAATCAAACTAAAATTTATAAAATTTGAATTTTTACAATATTTTTACGCTTATATTAAAACAAAGAAAATTAAGAGAAGGAGAGAGAGAGATAAAATAACAGAAATCGAAAAAAGATAAATAATACCTTGAGATTAAGAGTTTCAATTGTTCTTTTATTGATCAGAATAATCTTTTGATTTGTGATTTTGATTTTTAGTAGAAAGATATTATAAAAGATTGCCTCGATAGATACGATTTGAAATTAAATTCTAATTACATTTGTCTTATTTTCAATGAGACTCTTTAGTCTGTAATTATCAGTAAATTTTATCTATTTAAAAATAATATTAATGATGATAATAATAATAATAAAAATAATAAGTTAAAAATAATTAATTTGATAGTAAAAAATCAGTCACTGATTCAAATATAGTATGTAAATAAATTGTTAAAAAATTATCGAATTAATAGAAATTTTGTGAAATTCAACTGAAAATAATTTTTGTTAAAGAATTTCATTAAAAACTTTTTAACAAATCGAATTTTCAATATATTTTAATTTAATAATTGATAAATAATTGAATTTTATAAAGAGTCACATTTTAATGTACATGTTTCTTAGTGCGAAGATTAATAATTAAAATTTTTATTAAATAATTTAAAAAAAGATACACACTTAAAATTTTTTAATAAAATTGAATATTCGCAAAGTTTTTTTGAAAATTCTGAAAAATAAGATTTTTGAAATTTTTCAATTCTGTTGTTTCAAGATAATTGAATTTTTATAATCAAAAAATTAAAATTTCTTTGCATTCTATTAAAAATAATAAAACTCTTTTAAAGAATTTTTGAAAAAAATCTTATCTAGAATTCAATTATTTTCATAAATAATAAAATTCTTCACAGATATTCAATTATTTAAAAAAATTTACTAAACTTCGTTGCAAGAATTCAATTATTTTACAAATAAAAAAATTCTTCACAGAAATTCAATTATTTACAAAAATTTTAATAAAATCCTTCTCAAGAATTAAATTATTTTTACAAATGAAAAATTTTTCACAGAAATTCAATTATGTATTTAAAAAATTTTACTAAAATTCGTTGCAAGAATTCAATTATTTTCATAAATATAATAAAATTCTTCACGGAAATTTAATTATTTATAAAAAATTACTGAAATTCGTTGCAAGAATTCAATTATTTTCATAAATATAATAAAATTCTTCACGGAAATTCAATTATTTAAAAAATTTACTAAAATTCGTTGCTAGAATTCAAGTATCTTTCTAAAAAAAAGTTTTGACAAAAATTCAATTATTAAAAAAAATTTACCGAAATTCGTCGAAAAAATTCAATTATTTCTAGAAACTAAAAAAAAATCTTCTCAAGAATTCAATTATTTCCATAAATAGCAAAATACTTTAGATTTACTAAATTCTTTTAAATGTTATTTTTAAAAAATATTTTTCACTAGAATTCAATTATTTTCATAAATAATAAAATTCTTCACAGAAATTCAATTATTTAAAAAAATTTACTAAACTTCGTTGCAAGAATTCAATTATTTTACAAATAAAAAAATTCTTCACAGAAATTTAATTATTTACAAAAATTTTAATAAAATCCTTTTCAAAAATTAAATTATTTTTACAAATGAAAAATTTTTCACAGGAATTCAATTATATAAAAAAATTTACTGAAATTCGTTATTAGAATTAAAATATTTTCCTAAATAAAAAAGATTTCACAAAAATTCAATTATATAAAAAAATTTACTGAAATTCGTTATTAGAATTCAATTATTTTCCTAAATAAAAAAGATTTCACAAAAATTCAATTATGTATTTAAAAAATTTTACTAAAATTCGTTGCAAGAATTCAATTATTTTCATAAATATAATAAAATTCTTCACGGAAATTCAATTATTTAAAAAATTTACTGAAATTCGTTGCTAGAATTCAATTATTTCTAGAAACTAAAAAAAAATCTTCTCAAGAATTCAATTATTTCCATAAATAGCAAAATTCTTTAGATTTACTAAATTCTTTTGAATATTATTTTTAAAAAATATTTTTTAACTAGAATTAAATTATTTACATAAATTTCCATAAAATTCTAAAAATCAATTCAGTTATTTTCAATAGTAATGAAATTCTTCGCAGAAATTCAATTATTTTTAGAAATTTTTTTCAAATTCGCCTCAAAATTTCAATTATTTTTATAAATAATTAAATTGTTCTTTACAATTCAATTATTTTCCAAAACTTTAATAAAATTCTACGCAAAAATTTAATTATTTTCATAAATATGTAATAACATTCTTTGGAAGGATTCAATTACTTTTATAAATAGTAAAATTCTTTGCAAAAATTAAATTAGTATCAATACATTTTAATAAAATTGAATTAAAATCAAATTTTCAATTATAATTATGAATAGTCAAGATTATTTTAAAAAATTAAAAAAATTCTTTGTTTAATTAAATTATTTTCGAAATTTTTCATTAAAATTATTAAAAAAGAACATTCTTTTCAAAAAATTTAAAGAATCTTGTCAAAAGAATTTAATTATTCATAAAAATTCTAATAAAAAATTTGGAAGTTATTTGTAGATTTATTTATGTTCGAAATCAAATAAATTTAAATTTGATGAGAAAAAAAACCGGGAAAAATTAGGACAAAGCCGGGAAAAAATCGGGAAATAATAATAGTAATAATAATGATGATGATAAAAATAATATTAATTATAAAATAATAAAATCATAATTACAATAATAATCATAATAATAATAATAATCATAATAATTATAATAATAATCATAATTTTTTAATCTTTAATTACAGCAATAATAGTGATAATAATAATTGAATAAGAATAAAATTATAATTACAGTAGTGATAATAATAACGATAATGATAAATTTTATTTGAAAGAACCGATTTGCTTTTTCGTTATAGAAAAAGTATCCTGTGACATTATTTTATGTCATGAACGCGATAATTGTACGATATTCAAAGGATTAAGTAGTTCAGTTAGAACCAGGGTAGCGTGCGCGATCGATCGTTGAAATCGACCCTAGGTCGAGGTTAATTTTTTAAAGTGGTATTTCTTCTCATACTTTTTTTTCTCATTCTCTAGGTCACACGCTTTTGGCCAGATTAAAATTAATCGCAAAAATATTGTTTCATTGACACTAGAAAAATGTATATATATTTCCAGGCCTCGACTTTTTTCGACTACATTTAGATTTATATAAAATGGATTTGAAAATTCTCAAAGGACTTTTGCAAAAAAAAAAATAATTAATTTAGAGAAGAATTTTACTTTAAATTCTAAAAAAATAATAATTTTTGAATTTATCACTCGGTCATCTTTAATTATTAGAAAACAGGAAGAAATCGATCACTCCGAGTCTACGACTCGGAGTGATCGATTTCTTTCTGTTTTCTACTAAATATTCTTTTAAGTTGTTGAATTACAAAAAGGTTTGCATTTAAATGTTTTGAAGAATTTTAATTCATACGAAAAAATAATAATTAAATCATTTTTTTAACAAAAAGTTATTGATGTTTTCGAATTAAAAAAAAAAAAAAAAAAAAAAAAAAAAAAATTACAATGAAAGAATTTTGTAATAAATAAATTCCACAACATTTAGAAGTCGATATGTATTTTCTACATAATATAAAATATAGAGAATGCACTCACCTAGAATATACATCATTGTGAAACAATTGTCGAAAGCGAAACCAAATAAAAATCGACACACTGCAAATTCCCAAAATGTTGTAGAAAATGCTGTTGCAACCCCAGCGAAAAATCCAACTAAATTTGCTCCAACTAATGCTGGAATTCTTCCATATCGATCAGCAATCCATCCAAATATCAGACCACCAAAAATTGCCCCAACAAAAAATATACTTTGGGCAGAACTTGGCAATGCTGCATTCTCGCAAACCCATTCCAACTGAAAATTAATTAACATTAGTCTACAATATTTATTTCATTTAGTCAAAGAAATATTTATCATTTTGGCTTTGCACTCATCAACTAAAATAAAAATTTAATATTTTATCTAATAAATTAAAAATTATTTACTACTTTTTTTACCATTAGCTACTATTTAAATTTTTTCTCTATATTATATTATTTTTTTTTTATTATAAAATACGATTTTAATAAAATTTCTAAATAGATTTTAATTATTTTAAGAGATGTTAAGAAAATTCTTTATAAGAAATTCAGTTATTTTCAAAAATTTTAACAATAAATTCTTTGAATTCAATTATATTTATTAAAGTTTTAATTTTCGAATTTCTCAAAAGAATTTTAATTTTCTATTAAAACAAGTAAATTATTCTCCAAAAATTAAACAAAATTCTTTGAAGTAATCACGAATTACTTTTTAAAAATTTTAATAAAATTCCTTGAAAAAATTCAATTATTTGCAAAAATTTTAAGAACATTTGTTTCATCAGTAATTCAATCATTTTCCCAAATAATGAAATTCTTCGCTAAAATTCAATTATTTTCAATAATAGCAACTATTTTATAATAAAATTTCACAAAAGAATTCAATTATTGAAAAACAATTTTAATAAAATTCTTTGCGAAAAATTCAATTATTTTCACAAATAATAAAATTCTTCAAAGAAATTCAATTATTTTCACAAATCAAAAAAAATTTTTTAAAGAAATTCAATTATTTACAAAAATTTTAATAAAACTCTTCGCAAGAATTCAATTTTTTTCATAAATAATAAAATTCTTCACAGAAATTAAATAATTAAAAAATTTTTTTTGAAAAATCTCGTCGAAATTTTAGTTATTTTTATATAGGAAATAATTAAATTTAATTATTCTCAAATATTTTTTTTTTTAAATCTCAACAAAATTTCAATTAACTTTATATCAATAATAAAATTCAATTATTTTCAAAAAATTTTATAAAATTCTTGGCAAAATTTCAATTATTTTCAAAACTTTTTACGCAAACATTCAATTATTTTCACAAATAATAAAAATGTCTGATGAAATTCAATTATTTGCAAATTTTTTATAAATTTTTTCACAATAATTTAATTATTTTCAAATTTTTTATAAATTTTCTCTCAATAATTCAATTATTTTCTTAAATAATAACATTCTTCACAGAAATTCAATTATTTACAAAAAATTACTTTAATTCGTTGCAAGAATTTACTGAATTATTTTTAAAATACAGTTTTAATTAAATTATTATTCGAAGTAATTGAATTATTCTTTTAAATTTTCATAAAATTCTTTAAAAAAATCCAATTTTTTACAAAAATATTAATAAAATCCTTCGCAATAATTCAATTATTTTCATAAATAGTAAATTCGTTGCAAGAATTCAATTATTTTCATAAAAAAAAAAAATTATTCACATAAATTAAATTATTTAAAAAAAATTTCTAAAAATTTTTTGCAAGAATTCAATTATTGTCATAAATAATAAAATTCTTCACATAAATTCAGTTATTTAAAAAAATCTACTGAACTTTGTTGCAAAAATTCAATTATTTTTATAAATAAAAAAAAATTTAACAGGAATTCAATTATTTAAAAAAATTTACTAAAATTCGTTAATATAAATAGTAAAATTCTTCACATAAATTCAATTATTTAAAAAAATTTACTGAACTTCGTTGCAAAAATTCAATTATTCTTATAAATAAAAAAAATTTTCACAGGAATTCAATTATTTAAAAAAATTTACTAAAATTCGTTTCAAGAATTCAATTATTTTCATAAATATAATAAAATTCTTTACAGAAATTTAATTATTTAAACAAATGTACTGTAATTCGTTACAAGAAATCAATTATTTTCTAAAATAAACAAATTTTTCACAGAAATTCAATTATTTTTTAAAAATTTACTGAAATTCGTTGCAAGAATTCAATTATTTTTATAAATAATAAAATTCTGTACAGAAATTCGATTATTTAAAAGATATCAATAAAATATTAAAATTCGATGCAAGAATTCAATTATTTTCATAAATAATAAAATTTTTCACAGAAATTCAATTACTTAACAAAATTTACTGAAATTCGTTGCAAAAATTCAATTATTTTTAATACAATTTTATTAAATTATTCGAAGTAATTGAATTCTTCTTTTAAATTTTCATAAAATTCTTTAAACAAATTCAATTATTTTCAATATCTCCTATTTTAATAAAATATTCACCAAAAAAATTCAATTATTTATAAAAAGAATTTAATAAACTTCTTCGCAAGAATTCAATTATTTTTATAACTATAAGAAAACTCTCAATAATTCAATTATTTAAAAAAATTTACTGAAATTCGTTGCTAGAATTCGATTATTTTTATAAATAATAAAATTCTTCGCACGAATTCAATTATTTTTAATACAATTTTAAATGAATTTCTCAAAAAAAGGCATTTATTTTCAAAAGTATTATTAATATTTGAGAAAAAAATGAATTATTTACATAATTTGGATAACATTATTTATAAGTATTTAATTCTACGAAATAATCATTTATTCTATCAATTATTTATTTTTGTATTTAAATAATTGAATTCTTGTAGAAGTTTCTAATAAAAATTAAGTGAGAAATGAATTTGAGTGGAAATTTTAGATTATAATTTAATATTTAATATTTTTTATGAAAATCAGGAAAATACAGAATCAAATTTTTTTTTTTTTGGTAATTTTTGTAAATTTAAAACGTGTTTTTCAGTCGTCAAATTAAATTTTTCGATAGCTACTTTATTTTACTACTTTTTTCACTCTTGAAGCTATACTATTTGCTACTTTTTTATTTTTTTAAATTAATTATTGAGTGCGAAGCCTGCATTTAATATCATTTTTTAAATACTGTTGGTACCCTTTTTATCTTAACAAAGGTACGATCAGTATTTTCGGTCGTAATTTTATAATCCATTTTTCTCCGTTCAGCTAAAAAAAAAATTAAAAAATAAAAAGAGTTTAAAGAAACAAAATGGGTGCGCGTAAATTTACATCTATTTAAATTTACCACGAGAACTAATTAAATTCTCTAATTAACAATTCTACATTGATGTATTGTCTTATTGTTGATAACGTATAGCTGTTTGTCAATTAACAAACACTGAATAATTCCAATTAATCAATTTGAGAAAATACTTAATAAATATATTAACAAAATATCTATCAAATATACTTTATTCTTAAACGCTACTTGTTTCCTGTTTTAGAAAAAAAAAGAGCAGACTTTATTCCAATTGCTTTTATTTCTAGATTGTTTAATTTGTCTTTGATATATATACATATATTAAAATAAAATTTATAAATCGAAATATAAAGATTTTGATCTAATGCAAATGATCTCAACTGAACCAGAACATAAATGTCGTAATCTTTGAGTGTAACGTTAAAGAGTTAATCATATACTATTGAAGTTTACAAAAGCTTGGAATTAACTATTTTTCAATAATGCGATATAAGCCTTTCTGTATCCTGTAAATTGATATCCTGTGAGTGTACAACCTTGAATGATTAAAACTAGAAAGGAAAAACAGTTTATAATATATATAAAACTTAAATTGTAATATACCGAATGATACACCCATATAATTAACGACCATTTACAATTATTAATAAATAAGATTATCTGACATGAGTAAATCGTTTAGAGAATGATTATTGAAAAAAAGAAGAGGAAAAAAACTAATTGAAAGCATATCTCTTTCGAATGGGTCGCGCTTTTTTATTGAGTCGTAATTTTCTTTTTTTTTAATTACAAAATGGAAAAATTAGTCAAGAATATTTTTTTTAGGGAGAACTTGAGTTTAATTTTTTTTTTTAATTTTAGTTTAAAAAAGGTTGATAGATATTTTCTAGTTTTTTTTTTTTGGATTCAAAATAATTGTGAATAAAAATGAATTGAGGGAGATTGGATTTTTTTTTCTTTGCAAATAGAGTGAGAATTTATGGACAGAGAGCGTATTTACACCTCGGTTGCGACGGTGGAATAAGGTATGACTGTATAATTGAATTCCCATCCGTGTTTACAGTGGGTGACAGGCCAGTTTGGATCTGCCACTTTTATTCCTTTTTCCATTATCTCCTTGTAATTTACGTCATACATGGAGCATTTCGAATGAGTTACATGGTTCCGATGATGTGAATCCCGAGGTATGGCCAGCGCTACTCTGAAAGTAATTAAAATTTACTTTTTTTTTTCTATTCAATACTATATATTTTTATATTCCGTATTCGTATTTTTATATCCTTAGAATTTTTTAAATATTAAATATTGTTTTTTTTAAATATTGTTTTTTTTAAATATTGTTTTAAACTACAACAATAGGCGAAATAATTGTGTAGAATTTTATTAGAATTATTCTACATATAAAACTTCAGTGAATATTTTGTGTAAAATTTAATTTAAAAATTTTTTTATAAAAATCTTTGCAAGTTTTTAATTGTTTTTAAAAAAATATTGATAAAATTTTGAGCAAGATTTCAATTATTATACTGCAAATTGCAAAAAATTTTTAATATTAATAAATATTAACTTCAATTTTTGTATAATTTCAGAACCAAAAATTAAAAAAAAAATATTAACTAATTCATTATTATTTATTATTGAATTTAATTGTTTTCAATACAATTTTAATAAAATTGTTGTCAAGAAGTCAATTATTTGCATAAATTATAAAATTTCTGTCAAGAATTAAATTATTCTTTTTTAAATTTTTATAAATAATAAAATTCTTGTCAAGAATTCAATTATTTTCATAAATATAATAAAATTTTTATCAAGAAATCAATTATTCGCGTAAATTATAAAATTCTTTTCAAGAATTCGAATTATTCTCGATATACAATTTAATTCTATGAAATTTTTTTGAAAAAATTGAATTAGGTATCTATTGTTAAAAAATTTTAATAGAATTCATCATTAGGAAGGCAATTATTTTCAAAAATTGTGATAAAATACCTTATAAGGAATTCAATTATTTTCAATATTTTTTTAATGAAATTCCTAAGAAGAATTTAATTATTTTCAGAAATAAGGAATTTTTTACAAGAATTCAATAAAAAAAATTAAATTTCTCGAAAAAATTCAATTATTTAAAAAAAATTTTAATAAAACTCTTTGTAAGAATCCAATTATTTTCAATTATTTGTTTATATAGAAGAAAATACTTCGCAGGAATTCAATTAATTTTTTAAACTTTTGATGAAATACTTTATATGAATTCAATTATTTTCAATACAATTTTAATTCAATTCCAAATAAATCAAATATTTTCAAAAATTGAGAAAAAATCTTTGCAAGAATTCAATTATTTTCATTAATAAAAATCGAATTTTTCGTAGGAATTCAATTATTATTAATAATTTTAATAAAATTTCTTTATAAGAATTCAATTATTTTCAATTCAATTTTAATAAAAATTCACGAAAAAATACAATTATTTGCTTAAAGAATAAAATACTTTGCAGGAATTCAATTATATTAAAAAATTTTAACAAAATTTTTTGAATTCAATTATTTTCAATAAAGTTTTTATATTGGATTTCTCAAAAGAATTTTTCATTTTTTTTTTAAACAATTAAATTATTCTCAAAAAATTTAAACAATATTCTTTGAAATTATCCAATTGCTTTAAAAATTTTCAATAAAATTTCTTAAAAGAATTCAATTATTTTCCCAATGAATGAAATTCCTCGCTGAAATTCAATTATTTTTCTAAATAATGAAATTCTTCGCTAAAATTCAATTATTTTCAATAATAGCTCCTATTTTATAATAAAATTTTACAAAAGAATTCAATTATTGAAAAAAAATTTTTATTAAAATTCTTTGCAAAATCTCCAAATTATTTTCATAAATAATAAAATTTTTACAGAAATTCAATTATTTGAAAGATAATTTTACCATTAAATTTTTTTAATGAAATGAATTATTTAAAAAATAAAAATAAATAAATTCTCCAAAAAAAATCAATTATTTGTAATAATTTTGATAAAACATGTTTATAAAAATTCAATTATTTGAAATACAATTATGTATATTTATTTTCCCCAAAAAAATTTAATTATTCAAAAAAATTAAATTAATTAAAAAATTTTTAATAAAATTCTTTGCAAGCATTCAATTATTTTCACTTATAATAAAATTCTTCAGAGAAATTCAATTATTTTCACAAATATTAAAATTCTTTAGAGAAATTCAATTATTTTCATAAATAATAAAATTTTATTCTTTAGAGAAATTCCATTATTTTCATAATTAATAAAATTCTTCACAGGATTTTAATTATTTTTAATACAATTGTAATTATTTTTCTCAAAAGAATTCAATTATTTTAAAAATGAAATTTCTTCAAAAAAATTCAATTATTTTCAACAATTCTGATAAAAATCTTTGAAAGAATTAAATTATTATAAAAAAATTTTAATTTTCTTTGAAACAATTAAATTATTTTCAATAATTGAAGAAAAATCTTTGCAAGAATTTAATTACTTTCCTTAATAAAAATGGAATTTTTCTTGGGAATTAAATAATTTTAAAATACGATTCTAATAAAATTTCTCAAAAGATTTTAAGTATTTTGAAAAATGTTAAGAAAATTCTTCCAAAGGAAATCAATTATTTTCAAGAATTTTTGATAAAATAATAAGTATTCAATTATTTTTAATACAATTTTTAGTAAATTCGAAACAAATCAATTATTTTCAAAAAGTGAAAAGAAAATCGTATCAAGAATTCACTAATTTTTATAAATAATAAAATTTTTCGTAGGAATTAGATTATTTTAAAACACCATGATAAAATTTCTCAAAAGATTGCAATTATTTTTGAAAATGTTAAGAAAATTCTTAAGAAAATTCTTCCAAAGGAATTCAATTATTTTTAAAAACTTTAATTGAAATTCGACCGCAGGAATTGAATTTAAAAATTTTAATAAAATAGTTTATGAAAATTCAATTATTTTCCAATATATAATTTTAATAAAATTCTTAACAAGAATTCAATTATTTTCATAAATAATCAAATTGTTTGCAGAAATTCAAATATTTACAAGAATTTTGATAAAATACTTTATAAGTAATAATTTTCAGTTAGAATTTTATAAAAAAAATTTCGCAAGGAATTCAATTATTTTCAATACAATTTTAGATAACAATAAATAATTAGATTAATTTAATAGGGTATTAGGTATTATTAATTAAATTTTTCTTTTTTTTTTGAATTTCGCGCCAATTTAGTTCTTTGAATTACCGCCTAGATGGCATGAAAATTCTCTCACAAACGAAGTAAAGCAAATATATATATAATTCTTGCTGGTAAATTAAATTTGAAATTATTTCTCATTTTAGTAATAAAATAAAAATAATATTTCGAATAGGTACAAGAAAATGCATCTAAACTTGGACTCTGTAAATTTTAGTCATGGAAATTTTTATGTTCAAAAAATTTTTTATTTATTAAAATAATCGAGCACACATTGAAGTCTATGACTGAAAAGCAACATTAGATATTGAAGTATGAATACATTTTCGCCTTCACGCTCTCATTACTCGGACGAAGGATTATTAGAACTGTGCGTCCATAATTATATCCTTCGGCAATTCGCACGCAAACTTCTTCGCGATGACACCGCAAGGATCTTCCCTTTCCGCGAGGATTTTTCAATTAACTTTTATTCCATATATTATACCATCAATTAAACTCGTTTCAAGCATTTCAGATATTTTCTTCCCTTCTTTTCTAATTTTTTTTCTAATAAATATTTTATTTTATCCATTTTTTAATTTTCAACTTTTATTATTTTTATTAGTTTTCTAATTACTTCTACTCTTTATTATTTTCAAATATTTTAATTCTTTTTATTTATTTTTTTAAATTTATTATTTTAATTCTTTTTATTATTGTTTTTAACTCTTTATTATTATTTTCAATTATTTTAATTCTTTTTTTAAATTTATTATTTCCTTTTACTATTGTTTTTAAGACCAATTTTCTATTAAAATTTTTTTTATTATTATTTTTTATTTTTTTTTAAATTTTAAAAATTTTTTCAAATTTTTTATTTTAAATTCTTGTTATTATTTTTTTAAAATTGAATTCTCATTCGAAATTGTTTAAAAACAAGTGATAAAAAAAATAATCTATTTTAATTATTTTCCCTATTTTTTTTTTTTAATTTAGTTTTCATTCTATATTCTTTTTAAAAGCAAGAGACAAAAAATAAAAAATAATCTTATTTGCATTTTTTAAAAATTGAGTTAATAAATTCTTTATTATGTTTAACTCAAGATCATTTCATAGACAATAATAATATGTAGAGTCAACAAAATAAGAGTGGGAAAAAAAAATTTTCAATAGTCTAATTTTTAAACTATCGGACATTATGAATTTACACTTTGAAAAAATGGAACGCAAAAATGAGAAAAAAAATTCCACTTAATAATAAATATATTGACTATAGGTAAATAGGTAAATTTTATCATCTTTAAAAAAAAACTTTTATGGAAAAACAATTTTTTTTTCTTAAATAATAATAAGTAATATACTTTTACGAGACAATTTTCATTTAGTTTTGTGAGATATGAATAAATTGGAAATATTTACTTCTTTGGTTTAAAAAGTATTGCCGAAGCAATATTTTTCTACTTGGATAATTTTTGTCTCATCGGAAAAAATTTTTCTACTTTTCAAATTGATGTCTGAACATTACAACTTTACCTACTTAAAAATTGTGGTGGCTGAAACATTCAATGACTGCCGCAACTATTAAATTATTATTACTATTTATTATTAATTAAATTACTGAATATTATTACTTGAAAATTTCCAAAATAATTGAATTTTAAACGAGTTGTTTAAATTTTAAATTTTAGAAAAATAATAAAATTTTTCATCCAAAATTCAATTATTTTCAAAATTTTCATAATAAAATTATTCGCAGAAATTCAATTTTGTTCAACAATTTAAAAAGAATCTCGTCAAAATTTCAATTATCTTTATATAAATAATAAAATTCAATTATTCTCAAAAAATTTTTTTTTAATCTAATCAAAATTTCAATTATTTTTATATAAATAATAAAATTCAATTATTCTCAAAAAAATTTTTTTAAATCTCGTCAAAATTTCAATTATCTTCATATAAATAATAAAATTAAATTATTTTCAA